CTTGCACGAAGTCACAGAGTACGCCGTGCAGGGTCGAGATCTCATTGATTTTGTGCCAGCGTCAGCAGGAGAGGAGATCATTAGTGGCAGACCATTGTGGGGGGGCTTGTTGGGTTGTGCTCTGGAGCGGCTTGGTCTTGCAACCGGCGATGTCGAGAGACAGAGAGAAAGGGAAGAGGGTTGGAGGCTGATTGCCAGCGAAACAAGGTTACCGGTCATTGAAGAAACCGGGGAGACATCAGCAGCACAAGATACGAGTGGGACGATGGTGGTCGACGTGTCTACCATGCACACATCAACGACAGAGGACTTGGTGTATATGGACATGTGTGAGGGTTTCTTCTTAGGGGAACAACAGTTGGCAGAGCGCAGAGACGATCCAGAGCACAGAGATGATGCAGAGGAGGAGGATGAGGAAGAGTACGAGGGGTCTGACGTGAAGGAGAGCGGCAGCGACGTCGGCAGCGACGAAGAGGACGACGACAATGATGTGTACGACGATCTCAAGACGGCCTGTGGACAAGTAACCAAAGGTTGGGCACATGCAATCCTCAGTTTGGCACGAGTATTTCTCGATCCGCACAACGTGCTGCGTGTGGTGTTCAAGGGGGCGACACCTGATGGCGCAATGCAGTATGCTGCAGTGACCAGCATAATGCAATCCTTCAACAAGGGGAAAAAATGGTCACGTGTCGACAAGGGATGGTTTGTTCTGGTGAACAGAGAGGATGTGCTAGCAACATCGTTGACATGGGGACTGAACCTGAGCTGCCTCCTGCATGGCGCAGTGGCCACAGCTTGGGGAGAGACTTTGCACCCCGGCTTGTCAACAGGGGACGTAATAGTTAGTGCTCGGCCACGGCACCACACACACACACCCTCACACAGCACGACAGACCACGTCAGACATYAGGGATGATGCCACACATGCATAGCACATGGCATTACAGTTATTCTACAAACAACCTGTGTGGGTGTGTCTACACATAGATTGCTCAACCTGTATATCCATCACCTTGTACATCCCTCTCCCTCCTCCTCAGTTTGAACAACACTCGGGTTGACTACTATGTACCATATTCGTGTTCAACAGTGTTCTCTGTCGGAGTATAGGGCCGGACTAGTCTCTCTCTCTCTCTCTCTCTCTCTCTCTCTCTCTCTCTAGTTGTAGGTTTAGTTGAACCTGTATGTCCCCCATAGGTTTACGACAGCGTGCAGACACTGCATATTTCATGCAGTTCATTATTGTTACGATGTTTGTCATTCCATGTTGCTTTCTGGGGCACTTAAGACTCATCAGACCGCCCCCTCTGAGGACTAATGCGTGTTTCGTGTGTGATTCTGTATCTTTTTTTTTTTTTTCGTAATTTTTGTAATTGTTTTTTTTTTT